TTGTTATATTTCTCTTTGTAAAATACCGATCTTAACAAATGTTACAAAAGTTTTGAAAATTGTCTCATATTTACCCACATTAACCCTATATCCTTTNACACTCGGTAAGTAATCCTACAATTTTTTATTTATAGCGTAGTTTATACGGATTATTTCCAAAAAATATATACGTGTTTTGGAAATGTTGAGTCGAATTAGTCTAGAATCGATTAATTTTATGGAAGAAAATTTTTCAAACAGCCGTAGTCCGTAAACTTGATACGTGTCGGGTTGTGATTGGAAGGATTCGTAAGAAATTGGATTCCTAAAGAATGGAACGTATCTCTATCTTATAGGGGGGTCGACTGTATATTAATTTTAAAATAATGAAAATCATTCTACATTCTATAAGGATTGATCAAACGAAAACCATTTATACAATGTCATGTGATCCAATGCAAGGGGAGGGGAATGATGTCATGTGGTGGATAAACATACACCAATGAACAAATAGAGAACAGATCAGTTGTCTCACACGTTTTGTTTTTGTGAAAACATGACCGGAGTTATTTGAAATCCATCCAAGGTTAAAATATGATGCCACCACTTTGAGCCAACTAGCAAGCATGCAATGGAAACACTCCAACTCACAGCCTGTAAGGTTATGATGATCACATTTTTGACATTGCAGGGTCTTTGCTGGTGGACTTTGATGCTCATATGAGGGTCTTTAATGCCAATTGTTACAATGCAACATTAGAAAATCTGCTTAAAGCCATAAAGAATACATTACCAGGTATGCTATCACATGGTGTGATTTTGTTGCACAACAATGCTCACTGTATGTTGAGAACACTGCAGGAATGCTTTAGCATGAAAAGGTTGGGAGATTCTGCACCACCCTTCCTTTAGTCCCAACCTGTCATTCTGTGACTCATTTGTTCAGACCTCTAAAAAAAGCTGTTAAGGACTCTGATGCAGAAGTCAAGGAAGCTGTCACCCAATAGTTCAAGGATCAACCAACATTGTTCTTCATTTTCTCCCCAAGCAGTGGGATGCATGTCTGAATGCCTACAGTAACTTTTTTAATAAGCAAAAGTGCATTCCAGCTTTCTCATATACTGCTTTGTTTAATTATGCCATACCAATGGATATACTGTTTTGTTTGTCTTAATAAATTTAATTGAATGGGTTTCATTTGATCAATCCTTGTAATATGTCCGTATTTGCTAATAAGAATTTCAAGAAATAAAATTAACTATTGCAATACTTTAAGCCTTAATATTTAAACAATGATAACTTATTGATGCATTTACAATTGTCAAATATAATGCAACAGTGGAGAAATACAACAGTTTCTCAATAGGCAATGCTTAGGGAAAATATTTTAATAATATAAGGTGTCCAAGAATCTTTATTACCATATAAAGTCATAACACAAAAATGAAGCAGTCTCCAAAGATTCATCCAGTGTCAAAGGGCAATTGTAATCTGTGGAACAGGTTTTAGAAATGCTAACTGTGGAATTCAAAGGTTTATTGAATATATGCTAATAAAAAACTGATTTATTCTTTTATTATATTATTGTCAACTAAGGACTTATCATATTAATAGGACTATTATACTGGTGTGCCAATTTTTGCAAAAGAAAAATTCTTATTCAGAAAAAATAAATCATCTATTTTTCACCTGTTGTGCACATCAGTATAATAGTCCTATTAATATGATAAGTCTTAGTTGACATACTATTTTATTATATAATTAATATAAGGACATAAAGGCAATTGAATTGATTTATTCTTTCTTTTACCTCAAACCACTTTTCAATACATCATTTCATTTTTGTGTTATGAATTTGTATAATAAGAAAGATCTTTTCCAGATCCACTATGTTTTAATAATAAACCATTATGATTGTTTACTATCTGTAGAACTACATTTTGGAAGAGTTCCTGGTTTGTTTACAAACAAAACTGCTAGACAATGCTTACTTAATCCATTAATTGTTATGGGCAAGTGCAAACAATATAGAATACTTCTTGTATGACATTTAAATCTAAATACAGTATACAGTTTATAGCTCATCTAAAAGAGATGTAGTTGGCAACTCAAGTGATTGATTCAATCAAACATTCAGAGAAGTGTTCAGTAATGCAGGATTCTTTCTAAGTCTAGTTATGCTACAAAGCCAGATTTGTATCTAACTAATTCCTGACTCAGAATTTTTAAAATGGGCTAAGTGATTTGCTACATTGCAAAAAGTATGCTAACTAATGTCATCTGTAAGGTTGGATGTAATTATATAAATAGTATAAATATACATATTTTATGACAATGATTTACAAAGAAGAGGTAAAAATGATTTTTTTCATCCAAACATTTTAAACAGGATCATCTAATTCACTGACTCAGAATACCGTTCAGAGATACTCAGAATAATTCTTTGCTCTGCATTCCTAACTATTTCTTGCTTAGCATTTTGTATTACTGAATATAGATCCAATTGAAATTTTGTAGACATTTCAATAACTGTACAACTTATGATTACTGTTGATCTTAAGAGATTTACTGCAACAATAAATGCAGGATATAATGAATCTCCATGACAATACTTTAGGGATAGTTTATAGGGTAAAAATAAGCTTAAAATCCTGTATAAATGTTTTACAAATTTGCTTCATTTTTATGATCTGATTTGCCAAAAAATCATATTAGGTACCAAAAAGATAATACAGAAGTAGAAAACAAACAGTATTAACAACAAATACAAACTTATCTTTCAACATTTAAAGTAAAGTTTGTTTTTTCAAACACAAGGAAATTGAATTGCTCAAAATGTTGTCCATGTCTATTGAAAACCTTTTGAGTAGTTCTTGGAAATTATTCTGTTTAATCTTGTAAAAACCAAAATGTATTTAAAGTAAAGTAAACTTACATTAAAAACTCTTACTTCCCAATTATTTATTTTATTGTAAAGCAAGTGAATACTGCAAAATCTTAAAACAAATACAGTTTTAACTTTTATCTGGTAAGATAAGACTTTCTGTACATTTATCTATTTAGGCAACATTTATTTACCTCAATTCATTGGCAGAAGCTTAAAGTATACAAAATTATTTTAAAAACTTGACAACTCTAGAGTTAGTACTTTGGCAGAGAGTTAGAAAAGCTTTTGTTTTTGGCAGGCCAGATATGGAAAAAAAAGCAGAATTTGATATTAAATTGAAATATATTTATGAAGAATTTTAAGCTTATTTTTGCCCTAGAATCTATCCCTAAATTATTGGCACAGTTTTGCTACACCTTGTACATTTCACAAAGTATAGGGTAATTCAAAAGGTCTTAAAGTCAGGAATACAAAAACAAACCATTTTTACCTAGAAACATTGGTTGCATTTGTGGCTATATGTTCCTAGGTAAAAATGGTTTGTTTTTGTATTCCTGACCTGCCTTTAAAGTTTGCCTGACCTTTTTTGAATCACCTTGTACTAATACCAAAAATTTATCAAATAGATCTGCTGCTTAAAATTATTTCATTTTTAACAATCTAGCTAGCTAAAATTCTTCAGTTTCTAAATTTTCCATTATTTTATGCATACAAATTTTTTGTTATGAGAACATTTAAAAAAGATAGTTTCAAAAGACAGAAACTAATAATATACAGCACCCTATGCTTTTGCCTCCCTAATATTGTAGTTTTTACTTTTAGCTTTTGGTGATGCACTGAAACTCTTCATTGTGAATAATATAATTTAACAAAAATAGTATAATCTTTTCTTCTTATTTTTTTAAACTAAACAGTTAATTTTGAAATAATTTAGATATTTGAACTTTAGAAACAAAAATTAGATTTATTTAATTCTCAATGGTTTGTTCAGTTCACATTGAAATCTGTTAATTTAACTATGATAATTAATAGCCATTTAATCTGTATAATTTTTGAAGTAATCAAAAGTGATTTCATTTTCTTTCACTTACTCAATTTTTCTCTGATGATGATTTATGAATAAATTTTAAAAATTGCTAGTAATTATTCTAATTACCATATTTACTGAAATGAAAGAGACACATTTTTTCAGGTTTTAGCAAGTCTATAAATAGGGTTCATCTTAGATTTGATGTAGTACAGTACATCATAATTAGTGACCTCTAGTGTCACGTATCTTATTTCCTTGTCAATAATTCCATTGTCATTTTAATGATTTTATTAGATCAAGGTTAGTAACAGAAAATATTTAAGAGATAAACTTAACCCAATTTGTTAGTTTGTTACAGTAACAAGTAAGTAAGTATTTGAATGACAATCCCAGAAAAAGTTATGCAGCACTCATTCAAGAAATGTTGCATTTCTGATACTCAATACTGTGTAAAGTATGATTGCATGTGGGAGGATGAGAACATCAAATTTAGTGTTGATTAGTGTAGTTTTAGTAAACTAAAACTACACTAATCAACTATTACACAGAAACATGACTAAAACAACATTACTGTTAACTCGGAAGAGCCTAATACAGCAATAGGTTTCCAATTTCAATACCATGAAATACAGTGATGTATAACTTACTTTACTTGCAATAAATACTGATACTATTGACATAAATTTGTCTCAATGTGTTTATTAATTAATTTAATATTTGTTTTAAAAAATCCGTGAGGGAGCATGTAAAAATTAAGATGTCTTAGAATCAAGTAAACATGGTATATTCCAAATCAAATTTTGAGAAAGAAAAAGAAATAAAAAAGTTAGTGAAATTTGTGAGTATGATTGCATATGATTCTAAATTCCTTCCCAGTAATCTTAAAATAAAAATTAATAATAATAATATTTTACTATTGTGAACAAAAAAATAAACATGTTCAATAACCATAAATATGTTTATTCTTTCCATTAGTTATTCCCAGAATCAACTTAATTACAAAGTATTAAAACTTGTATATGTATATCAGAATATAAATTATAATTTACAATTTTATTATGAAAAAATTTAGCTAATCTGAAAATAAATAATAATAAAAATTACCTTGAATATACAATTTTGTATAACTTCTTCTGGAATATCAGGAAACTTGTATTTCATTTCTTGAAAAAGCTGCATATTGGTGGACGAATTACATCCAGCCATGATTAGTAAAACATAACTAAAAGATAATGAGGGTGCATTTTCTGGATAGGAAAAAGACAAATTTATTTGATTGAAATTTATTTACTTAGAATAAATTAAGAAATTTATATCTTATTGCAAAGATTTAATAAGAATATAAAAGTTTAAGAAATCAAAATTATTGATAATTTTTATATCAATTATCTATTTTAAATACAGTAATATACTAAAAGAAAGGCCATTTCCAGTACTGTGTTTTTTCAGAGGGTCCCTTCAAAAACATATAAGTGGAGTTTTATTGTACATTAAAAACTCTGACTGACTTCCAATTTTATTCTTTTCATCATTTATATCATATTTGAGTTACTAATTTTAAAATGAGCAAATAATATCAATTATATAAATAGTATTAAGAAGTGTAATAAAAAAAGCACTAATTATATTCTATTATTGATATATTTTAAAATATACTAAGTATAAGTGTGTATAACAGTGTTTTGGTTGAAATTCTATAAAAATAAATTAGAATTTTACTAGCAATGATGTTTTATTTTATTTTGATGAAATAAATCAATTTATACAGGTATCTTCATCAAAATGCATTTCATATTACTTAAAATCATGCTCAGATCTGTTTCCCAGAAACTTCTAATGATTTAAATAAGCATCTTAAAAGTATTAAAATATACCAAGTTTTTTATACAATTAGTTTACACTCTTAATAGCTGATTTAAAATTAAAACTACTACATCTTTATTGATCTTTTCCCTTTCTTTTTTTCATTTCTATTCATCTCCATATAAATTTAATTATAATTATTAAATTTTAATGTAAGAGATGGGCATCTAACACCTATCTCTAATGACAAACTACTTAGCATGTAATTAATAATAGTAGCAGTAATATAACTTGATATAATCCAGTGATTGATTGGCTTAAATCTAATAATTGGTTTCCTAATCTTGGACATCTCATCTGCATCTTTCTTATACATTTATATTTTTATCATAGGCTTTCTAAGCCAAATTTTTTCCTAAGCTTTCCAATATCTGTCCAATGCTCCTTAATTCTAGTACTGTATTTAGATTCCTAAGAGGCCGTCCGTAAATTATGTCCACATTTTTCTTGAAATTTTTACTCCCCCCTCTTGTCCTAGCTGTCCAAGTTTGTTATCCCCTCCTTTCTTCAGACACCCAATAAAACTCAACCTCCTTTAAAACTTTATCACTTTATGAATGATAAGATAACATAAGTAGAAACAAAATATACAAGAAATTTTGAATAAATATAATAAAATGCATAAACAGTATAAAATTTAACGTTTTTTGAAATTTAATGTAATTGTTAAGACAAGTCAAACAAGTGGTGGGGAGAATGTCCACTGTAGCTTCCCCCTTGTCCAACTTATCCACACTGAAAGGGAGGGAGGGAGGGTGTTGTCATTTATGAATAGTCTTAATTATGGATCAAATACAGAAATCATTTTTCCTTTCCTCATTCTTGACATTCCTTATAAACTCCTGACTGCTGAATTTTTCTCATTCCTTATTAAAAATTAATCTGTCCTTACTCTCACATATCCCCTTAACTTCTATACTTATACATCTCATCCATCACCACCACCACCACCTCATTTCTGTTTCTATTTTTCTTTCCATATATTCTTCCAATTTCCTCAACAATTTTCATTGAAATCATCACTTTTCTAAACTCTTTCTTCAATCTACTAAGCTCTATTTCCAATCCTCTTCTTCACAGCAATAACTATATATTGTCCTAAACAGATTGTATACTGCTGCTAATTTATATTTTGTTGGTTCCAAAGAATATTGATGAGTCAAAAACTGATTGAATGTTTCTATACACTCTAGTAATTACTTTTTCCTTAAATTATATGGACCTAAGTATGGAAATTATCTCCTCCTCATCTCTTCTCTCAACTTCTAAAATTAGTTCCATGTCATTTTGTTAATAACCTTGAAAAATTTGTCTATCTTATCATTCTTTCAAACAATTTAATAGTCTTCCATATATCTATTGACGTACATAATATTTTCTTCAAACCTCTGAATCATGTCATTTTCTCCAACCTGCAACACTAATTCAGTTTTAAAATGTATTGATCAAAGAAAACTGTTTAATTTTAAAGATAATTTATTTACTTCATTAAAGATGAGAAGAGAAAATTTTCCAAAAACATTTCAGCAGAATAAAATGATTGACTCTTTAATTAAAGATTTGTTGTGGTAGTGTTGATGGGAGGATAACAATCTATTGTTATTTTTATTACATTTTGTTTGACATTAAAATTGAGACATAAAAAGTAAATTCTCCTCGGAAAACTGGAGTTTCTAACGTCATGTTTATCAATACATACACTACAATTTATTATAGTAAGTGTTAATGTTAAGAATTAGCATCATAATTTCATGAGAATAACCTGCATTATTGTACTGTATATCTTGTGGAAAATTGCAAGGGTAAAAATAATTCATATAACCTGCCCCACCTTATACCACAAGCTTCAGGCAGCCATTGAAAGAAAGATAATTACTGTCATGCAGTTTAGAAGTTGTCATATCAAGCATTAAAATATTGCTTTTTGTGTTTCATGTCTATTAAGCCATTGTAGTTTATATATATATATATATAACAACCAAGCCCAAATATTCTGTAATAGTCATATTAATTTCTGGATTACTTAGACTATAATGCAGCTAACTATTAATAGTTAACACAAATAATTTTTTTCTGAAAGTAGGTGGTTAGACCACTATCTTAACTTATACTAATGATAAGGTTGATTGTAACCTCTTTGGTTATGCATATAATATCCAGCAGATAGAAAAAGCATTAAATTTTTAACATGGGAAAATCCTTTACCAAAAATTTTTGAAAAACAGAAGCAGATAGGATTCTAATGCTATTTGATTCTATTTAATTCCTCTATTAATGTATGGTTCAGAACTTTGAAAATAAAAATTTATTAAATTAAAAAATTAAATCTTAATTTATCAAAATGAATCAAGTACACTGTAGTTAAAAACTTGGTGTCATTTCTCACAAATGTATGAGCAGTTACAGTATTTGTCAGTCCAGTGGGTTGGTTGCCTGTCAATGACCAATTGTATAGTGTGAATCAAATTTAACTCATGACTGGAATTTAAAGTTGACTTATAATCTGCATTTCCTTTCAAATACAGGTTATCTGCACAATATTATGGTAATATGATCTACTAGAGAAACCCCTGTAGATTCTCACAAGTTTTTTTTCTTTTAAATTTATAGAAATCAATTCATGTTTATTAAGTTTACACTTCACAATATTTCAGATTTGATTACTGCTTACTTAAAGTTTAAAATAAACTAGGCCTGTAACTTTTGAAAAACATTAACTGTATTTTTCTATTTATATTTATCTCATAAAAATCTGAGTAATTTGTTATGTATAAACTGGTTTGCTAGATTAAATTAAGATTCTAAAACCAGCAAATAGGACAGCTTCAGAATAAAAATATACTGTTAGACTTTAACAATTAACTAACAAGTACAGTACATTATTATTATTAATATAAAATACTTATAAATTATTTGTTATTTAAAGCAGTTGGACAGTACATAAAATTTTAAAATAAATTTTAAAAAATTATAGTAATGAATTTAAGAAAAAATAAGATTTAACATTAAAACTGCATTTTTTTTAAAAATCAGATTGATTATAAAGTAATTTTAAGTAAAAATTTCTAACATTTCTTATTCAAACATATTATTTTATTGATGTCTTTTGTTTAATTAAACAAACATTTAGTGATTTTAGATGTAATATTTATTATACAACTCCAAAGAATGAATGATTGTTTGGGCCTTGCTAAATATTTAGATCTTGGTTTTGATTTAACCAAGGCCCAGACAATCATTCATTCTTTGGAATTGTCAATCTAAATATAAGTAATATTTATTTTTCAAATTTATCATTGGTTAAATTATGTCAATGTTGATGTTTAATAAATTAAAGATTGTCTCCATATTGTAGACAGTTCTGTTTAAATAGGAAATAGTTATTAAATTCAATCAATTACATCTTTAATAGAATTAACTGTTTATTCTTTGCTGTTCCTGGATCTATTACTTAATGTAATAAATAATAACACCCTAGAACTAAAAGCATTTTATCACATAAAACAGTAATTAACCAATTGTTAAAATTAATTAACAAAATTCAATAATCATTTCTCAGTAAAAAAAATATCAAGAGAATGTTTTTGAAGATAATTTATTACAAAGATTTGATTAATAAGTAAGGTTACTACTACCACAGCATTCTACAAAGTGTAGGACAGAAACACAATCATCACTACTTAATCAGTAGCCATGGGTGTCTAAGTCTGTATTAGCAGAATCCCTCATTCCATACAAAACAGTGATCAAATGTTTGGTGTTGGAAAGTTATGTATGTTGTGTGTCTGTCAAAATTCATGGAGGTTCTTGATTTGGTAATGTATTGTAAAACCTTACTAATACTCAAGAAACAGATTTGCAGAATAAAATCAGAAAAAAATATCTTGCATTACATTAATGCAGTAAAAAAACATTTAAGAATCCGAAGTTACAATTATTCTGCACCCTCCTTACAGCCCAAATATTGTATCACCAGACTTCTAATTGTTCCCAAAACTAAAAAAGGTGTTGAAAGATAAATGCTTTTCATCACATACTGAAGTTCAAATTGTGTAGGAATATATCAAGAAAAAATAAAAAAGCTTTTTGCACAAAAATGCATCACTAAATGGTGATTATGTTCAAAAGTGAATGAGTATTTATGTCTAAAATAAACCATTTTTACTACTATTTTAAACTGGTCATATTACTCTCTCTTCTTAAACTAATTTTGATAAATGTAGACTTTATCATCTTGATTTATATAAATGTTTGATTTGTAACTTTTTCTTTTTAAAGAATATTTATATTTTAAAATACAATAAATTATTTTTTAAAGATTTAATAATTTAATTACTGATATTTTAACTTAAATGAAAGTGTCTTATTTATTTATGATTTTAAAATGTAATTTAAATTAATGAACTGATGACTAATAACCATTTATAAAGTTCAATTTGTTTTCTTCAGACTTTGTTCCATCGTCTTATATTGAAGATATGAAATATTGTAAAATACTTCAGATAATTTATCTAACAAAGTTCAAACAAACTGATAAAACATCAAATATACAATTTGAATTTTACTGATCAGGATATACTTTGAAATTAAATGAAATATCATAAATATATTAAAGATAAGAAATTTTTAAATCTTTTAATGAATTTATAATTTTTTTAGAAGAATTATATATATATTTTTTGTAAAATTCAAGTTTGACCATTTCTTTTGAAAATATAATTATTGTCGTCACTAATGTTTTAGTAAAATTAAATTTTTTTCTTTTATATTAGAATCAAATTTAATTATATTGTGTAGAAAATAGCTTTCAAGTTTAATGATAAAGACTGAAAATGAGAGAGGAAAAGTTTTAATAGTTAAAACTTTTTTCTTCATTCTAGTTTTTACACAATAAAAACAAATTTGTTTAATGTAATAAATAAAACTAAACAAACTAAGAATAATATTTACTTTTAATTTCTTTATTCGGATAATTGTCACAATATCAGGATAACTTTAAAAATTGTTTTAATTCATGTATCATATAACATCAAAAAATTTGGAAACCATAAATTTTTAATAAGTTATTAATGAGTATAACAGCTCTTTAAACTTTTGTATTTGTTTTTTTAAATAAAAACTTTTCTGTAATAAAAAAAAATCAATAATGAGATATAAAATGTATATAATATATTATACATAATAAAATGAGGAATACTTTAACATTGTAGAATAAAAATTAATTTGTATTATATGAAAAAGTAAATGGGCATCTTTCTTTGTTACAAGATTTGAATACTTTGCTTTGGCATAAACAAACACTTTTCTCTACAAGTTGTATGATGATGTCCACTAAAACAAATATTTGACAATACAAAAGATAATCATAACAAAGCAGATATGATAAAATTTGTTTTCACAGTTTCAAATTATCAAATTTGTCTTTCAGAGAATTATGTTAAATTTTTAAAAATATTTTAAAATTACTTTCATAAATTTGATATGTTTTAATTAAAAAAATTAATATAATAAGTTTATATTAAAAAAATTAAGATTTAAATATGTATGATCAAAGCAGTCAAGGTTATAAAAGCTATACTTAGTTTTATAGTTTTATTTTTCTGTAATAAGAAAAAGTTTTTAGTTAAAATTTTTTAAGAAAATAGTTTATATTAATGTTTATTATTATTTTAAAAATTTCAAAAATCAAAATAATAAATTATTCTATAACTAACACAATGTTCTACATTTATTATTTGATGATAATTTTTAACTATCTTTTCATTAGTTCTGTAAGAATTAGATATTATCTTTATGAATCTATCATACAAGAAAAACTACTTTTTAAAAGAAAGTCATCTTTATTATTTTCAACAGAGATGCATTTTGGGCTATGCCCCCATTGATCTGTACATAAACTAAATAAATATATAAAAAACACAGCACAGTAATTCTTAAAAAATTAATAAAATAATTTTAAAATATTGTAAACATCAATCAACTTATAAAACAATATTGTACAATTTTCATTATTGATCAATACAATCCTCTACTGAAAACAGAAAAATAAATCTCCAAAACATTTTACATTAATAAATATGTTTATGATAATATGTCAATTATCAACATACACAAAATGTAATTTAAGAATTACAAAATAGAGATTGGTTAATTTTCTAACTATTACCAAATATTGAAGAATTGAATTAGTTTGGTCTAACTGTGATTTTGTTTCCAAATAATCAATGATTTAATTTATAATTTAACTAGCAGATGAACTCGGTGAGATTGAGATTGCTCAGGCAAAAAATAACAGCAAAGATTAAGATTATTTCTTACTTTTAACCCTTATAATATTTGATATATATAATTTGATATTATAATATATAATATGATAATTTGATATTTGATATTAAGATTATTTCTTACTTTTAACCCTTATAGTATTTGATATTTACAAAGGTTATGTTATAGTATTTGATTTATATAACGAACATTAGAGTTTGGTTATTTCAACCTACTATTGTCACATTTATTGCAATACTTGAATGGTATGAAATGGCACAAATTCAATGGTCAGATAGATAGGAATTTATAATAATATCTGAAAAATTGAAGATATATTTTCTTTTCTAATGTTAACTCTAAGAAACTAAACCATTCATGGCTAAATATCAAATGGTAATCTGCCAACCACATTTTGCAACAAACAGGCCAAATATTTGAACTTGGCACCCTCAAAAACCACTTACAAGGTTACCAGTGAACACAAAATATGATGTATTATGTAATTTTCCTATTTGAATATCATCATACTGTTGGTCCGATAGAAAGAAGGGACTGTTGCAGAAAGGGATTGAATTAATTCAACCAAAAGTAGTCGTTGACTTCCTTCCTCCTAGAAGAGAGGATGGTCAACGACTACTAATTAATATCAGACTACTATTAATAATTGAAAAGTAATCCGTGTTAGACAGGTTGTGATGGCCCTGCATGTGATTGAAGTTGCTAACATTAATATCCGAAAAAATTCATATAAAACTTGTTTAAATAAAAATATATTGTACAAATGCTATAACAAAGTGTTTTAAATTTTGGTGGTAAATTATATAAACAATGTGGGAAGTATATTCTCATAAATATTGCATTTATAGAAAAATTATTGATCTATAAATTCTGTCATCCTGTCGGACCTGCCTTCCTTCCTTAAACTTGAGAAAGGAGTTAGATAGATGAAAGTCAAGACCAGATGAGGAAAGCTTATGGCAGAAGGCCCAGATTAACTATACACAAACTTCCAGTTTGGAACGAAAGTAAACATTACTTCAATTCAAAATTCCCCCAAATGGAGTTAGACAGATGACTGACAACTCTATTGATAACAGGAAAAGTATAATGTACAGGGGCAAAACACTACTATACTCAACACAGGCAAGTCTTATGTGCTACCCATTGCAATAATGGTCTAATGGTGTATCTATTTCACACTATATCATATTGCAGTAATTCAGTGAATATAATAATATATTTTTTTAAATTAGAATCAATGTGGGTAAATATAAAACATTCCAAAAAATGGAAAAATATGAGACAGTTGTGAAATTTGACTTAATCTATATCTGATCCGTCCTGCACTAATACAAAATAAAGTTTATTTAGTGCTTTTTAATATAGTCATTTATTTTCATTCAGAAAAGTTATATGGTTTCATTGAGTCTTTTTCATTTTTAAGAAACACTACAAAAATAGGCACAAAAACTTTTCTGTGAGTTCAATTAACTTTAGCTCTTTATATGTCTGCAAAAGACATGGATATTTAATTAGACATTTGTATGTAGTATATAAACACAGCTTTCAGCTGCTAGTTGTTTTCATTGCATATATCATCTTTTGTCTGAGTTTTGTACATTTCAAAATAAGATTAAAAAAAAAATGCAACACACCAGATTTTATTCATCAAATCATTAATTTGCATGAAACTTTTTTACTTTATACTTTAGTTTGCTGTATCATAGTAAAAATATTTGTTATTATANCTCAACATTTCTCATACATAAAAAAAAAAAAAAAAAAAAATGAATATTCCATTAGATTTTAACATCATCTGTACACCTTGTTGTTATATTTCTCTTTGTAAAATACCGATCTTAACAAATGTTACAAAAGTTTTGAAAATTGTCTCATATTTACCCACATTAACCCTATATCCTTTAAATGCAGACAGAAATTAATTGATATATAAAAATCCAATCAATAATTTGGGATGGGATATATGACATGATCTAATTTAGTAGTATTTGAACGTAACTGCTGAGTTTCATAGCAATTGGTTGAACAACCTAGGAGTTTGTAGCGAACAAACAAACATCCTCATTTATATACATAGATTAGTGCCTTTTTAAAGTTTTATAACAACAGGTTATATTATTTAAAATATATGTTAGAGTTTGCCCATGATTTGTTTCTTCTAGTATCAATGTAGAACATTAATCAGTAATATTGAAATTAAATTATTCTATATCAAATTTTTTTACACTATGTACTTCAGTATTGTAAAAATTATTGTTTAAAATAAATTTAAACAATTATTTGAGAAAATTAAAAGTAGCTATTGGGTTAAGCCTCAGTAGATTTTTCCATAGAAAATAATTATTTTATAATTGTGTAAAAATCAAAAATATATTAAGAAATATTGTAACAGTTACAGATATTTACTGTATCAACTTAAATCTTTTTTGTCATGCTATTAGAAATTATACTTACTATTGTTTTAATAGGGACAACTGCCCCTTTCCTAGTAATAGCTTATTTTGCCATTCTCTGAAAAAAAAAAAAAAAAAAGATTGAAATTAAAAAATTATTTATTATTAAAAATAAAATTTAAAAAATTAAAAAGTATTATCAAAGTATTCTACTATTCTAAATAAATACAAAAAATGATCATCATTGTTAATGGCACAATAAATAGTAATTCAAGTAATATATGAGTAGAAAAGAAACTTAAATGAAAAATAATTTAACAGAATTAAAATTTCATGTTTATTTATCTTTCTTTTTAATTATTTTATTACAAAATAATAGAATATTAATCAAAATAGTCACTAATCTGTAAAATTTGTAACAAATATGAATTAATTTCATCAGTGCAATTCTGCAAAATAATTTACAATTTCAAATGAAAATAGTTTATTCTTAGTATCAATCAATCATAACATCTCTATTTCATTAAAGTTTTAAACTTTTTTATAAACTTTATTTCAGGATTAGATGAGATTTCTTTATAAATCTCAACATTGGTAACTTGTATTTATTTTGTTCATAACAATGACTATTCTGATGTGAAAAAAATTAATTCTATAAATCACTATCAGCCTACCAACTCTTTTTTATTTATAGCTATCAGAAAGATTTTAAATAAATTAAGTAATTTAGAAAAAATTTTTTATTATTAATATTGATTTGAGATAGTGGCCTAACTGCCTATGTTTAACTATATTATTTGACTAGTAGCCTGATAAATCTGGTTTAGGTATTTAATTTATGGTAATGAGATAGTTGAATAGAAGTGTGGTACTAAGAATTTTTTTTTTACTAGAATGAAGAAACATTTTTTATGATGGAAAACAAGAAGTTGACCACTGATAAAGTTCAAACTGATATAGTAAACTTTGAAAAATAGGAGTATCATATGTAATCTATCAGATAAAAAAGCAGATTATGTCTCTTGTTGAACAGATATGAGTGTACTGTCCTTAAATAATTTTACTATAAACAACAAAGGACAAGTTATTACCTGATTTGTATTCAGATTTGAAATTTTTAGAAGCCAAACTATTTTTAATAAAAATAAATAAAAATGTTTTGCATCATTTTCCAGCATATAAATTTGTTTTTTCTATTCATTGGATAGTTATAAAAAAATATAGTCATTCATGCTATTAAAAATTTACAAAATGAATTTTTAACAAAATTTAATAATTATTGCCAAATAAATAATGATGATACAAGAATATTTTAAAATCCATTTAATACAAACACCAATAATATTCCAACTCATTTGTAAGTGGAAATTCTAAAATTACAGCATAATGCAAACCTAAAAATAAATTTTCAGTAAAAAATATTCAACATTTTTTTATATTAATACTTACCACAAAATTATAATGGATTAATAAACAGTATAATAAAGTACACATATATACAAGCAAAATATTTTCAGTTACAAATAATATAAAAAAAAAATTCAGTTGATGGCTTACTTCATGCTATCTTATGAATTTGTTCATCATAATTAAAACTGGATGTCTAAAAGTTTGCTCAAGAACTACAATCTCAAAATTTGTATTAAGAAAGGATAAATGCAATAACATTTTTCTGACTAAAATGTGAAATAACTGTACAATTTTATATTAAGTAATATTTTTGTTTCTAGTTAATTAATCTTTACATTGAAGTAACTACAATGTAAAAGCTTAGTTTTATCATCTATCTAAATAAAATAATAAAGAGAATCTAATTAAAATTAAACAATATTCTTTTTTCCAGCTCTGGCAGCCTTTTATAATTTAAATAAATATCTTTGGTCTACTTCAAAATAAAACCATTAATGTGGTATTGTGGCCAATGGATTCCAAAGGTTGATGAACCTTTCTTTTGAAAAATGTTCCAAAGCAATTTTTCTTTTATACTTTCATTATAAAGGAAATTAAATTAGAGAAAACCGTACTTGAAGGAAATAATAAAAATAAGTTGATGACCACAAAATTCTACTAGATATACAGGCATCCCCCTACTTAAATGGATGTAATCTATTCCTGAAAAACAAATCTGTGGGAAAATATTAACCAGAGGACTATTTCTCCTTATTTTGAATGGGAAAAAGTAAGATGCATTACATAAACCCAAAATTCCCAAGTAATTTCCAAAACCTAACCAAAACAAAATAAATTACATCTATATGCAAGTACAGAACTATCACACTGGGATGTAAAATGTTTAAATTATGTTCTGATCACCAAACAGTAAGTTGTTAAACAGTTGTAGGAATATGAATAGTATCTGCATTCTGTGTCATAAACATTACATTATTTATTATACAGTAGAGAAATAATACACAGAAATAAAGGAATTTGTTAGAAAAAAGTTGGGATAAAAGTTTACAATAAATACAAGTAATAAATTGCAACACACATCTATAAATTTCTGTTTTACAAAATATTGGTATAATATGACCCTGTGATGCCTCTATCAGCATCAGCAACATTTGAAATGCACTCTCTTTACAGACTCTCAGTACATTTTTTTGGTGGCTTTGACATTCTACCAATTGTATTTGGAATGCAACTTATTTCATGCATCATTTTGTTAAAAAATACTACATATCAAAATCACAAGAAAATGCACAATCAATAAAAAGTGTGCACATCTCAATATTGCCAATACTGAAACAGATATCACAATAACATATATTTATAAATATAATTTTCCTTATAAAAATGTCAGCCAAAAAAATGTAATACAGGAAATCCATGTTAGTTCAGAATTCGAGGGACAAAATAATAGCAACTTCACATTATCTGAGATTTACCTTTATCTGTATAATACGTCAAATGTCATGTAACTGATGTAATTTATTAAGTGAACAGAATATGGTGACATGTACAGAACACTATTTTCATTAATTAAAAATTATANCAACAAAAGGTTACAATAAGTTTCTCAACTCTCAGGAAACAGTTTACTCAAGATAAAATTTGCTACATTTTAACAGGCTTGAAACTCTGATATAATTTCCTTAAAAACTGTATATTTTGTTTTATATTTAAAATTACTATTTTTATTTAAATTATTTCTGAAGTTGTTACCAAAAATACAATGTTTTTAATTTGAAGCGATCTGCTCTATTGATTTCACTAAACTATATTTAAATTTTTCTTGCTGTTTTGTTTTCAAAAGATGGTTTAAATTTTTGAATCTTGAAAATCTGTGTGACTAGTGCCTATACTTGTTGAAGTAGAAACTACACTTTTTTTTTAACATGAAAATTCAGTATATCTACAATTTGTGATCGATTAGATAAAAAGTTCCCAAAGTGGTCAATATTGATCCCCTAGGGTCAATAGTTTCAATAAAAAAATTTGGGGATCGACGACAGTAAAAATAGATTCCCTTACTACTGCTATTTGTTTGTTACTTCAAAAAAATCTATGAATCCAACAGGTACCTAATTAAAACACATTACATACCAAACTTGCAAACGAAAAGATAAAATGAAGAGCTGCTTTTCGCTAGAACTTTAGAAACTGACAACAAAAGTGAATTGATTTTTAATTTAATGGGGCTATTTTTCAACATAAAGGCAATTCCATTGACAAATATAATATCTGCTGCAACAGATGGAGCACCAGCTGTGGTTGGGCATTATTGTGGTTTCATACCATGCTTCCCCAAAAGAGTCACACGTAAGAATGCAGGAAAATACATGTAGCACAAACAAGTCTGTGCATTGTCTTATCGAATGTATCAAAGCTAGTGCAGACATGAAAAAACCGCTGCATGTCCCCACTTGCTTGCAGTGGGACGAGACAATATTTGATACTAGCAGAATCTATCAGCCTTGTAAGGTCATGCTTTCATAAAATACTATAAATTGGTTCAATTGATGTGACAAAATGTACTTATTTGTGATTTGAACTTTGAATATAATTATTTATTGAGGAGTAGCACTACGAAAAATAAAATCAGAGGACACAGTTTATTTATTCGGATTTCAACAAAAATCTTCTGTTTCAAGTACATACTTTTTTTTATCACAGAGTCTGTCAAAATTGTTAATAAAAGTTATTATTTCTTCAGATAATAATATGACCGAACCAAAAAAGAAACACAGACAGTACTGTTTGGATTATTTGAAGCTAGGATTTGTTCTGTTATTATCAAACAAACATTTACCAATGTGCCTCATATGCAAAAAAGTCTTTAGCAACAATGCTATGAAACCATCAAAACTATCAGATCACTTGAACAGAATTCACCCTGACAAAAAAGAAAAAGATTTATCATACTTTCAATTACTTAAAGATAAAATTCTGACGAGAACTACAATAGATAATATGTTTGTATCATCATCAAAACAAAATGATGATGGATTAAGGGCATCATATAACATATCCTTACTAATCGCGAAGTCTGATGAGCCACACACTATAGGGAAGAAACTGATTCTAATGGCTGTCGCAGAGGTACTGTACTCCACAAACCTGCACAATATGTTATAAAAAGGGATTCCTTTGAGCAATAACACATTTCAAAGACATATTGACGAAATCAGTTGCAACATGGAAAACTGTTTGTGTAATCATTTGCAAAAAACTTTTCTTCCTCCAATTGAACAAGTCCACATTACTTGGCAATGAAGCTTTGTTGATGGCATACATTTGCTTTATTCAAGATCAGGAAATGCATGAAGAGCTGCTTTTCGCTAGAACTTTAGAAACTGACAACAAAAGTGAATTGATTTTTAATTTAATGGAGCTATTTTTCAAGATAAAGGCAATTCCATTGACAAATATAATATCTGCTGCAATAGATAGAGCACCAGCTATGGTTGGGCGTTATTGTGGTTTCATACCGTGCTTCCCCGAAAATAAGACAGTGTCTTATATTAATTTTTGCTACAAAAAAGGCGCTAGGTCTTATTTTCAGGGAATGTCTTATTTTTTCCATGAAGAAGAATCCACATTTAGTATTGAACAAAAAAATTCCCAAGTCGAACTTAGACGAGAGTGAAGTATATCCGGTTGTGTCGAACTGTCGCTTTTTTATAGCGCCGACATCGGGCTCGACGACCAATTAGTGCTTACTGAACCATAGCACTATGCAAATGTCATGTGACGTGATTCTCGGCCGACCAATTAGCCATCACCAGCCATAACATTATGCAAATCTGTGATTCCCAAGCCATAGTTTTATGCAAATCATGCCGTGTGGCGTGATTGTCTGCTGACCAATCAGTCGCTGTACTTTCAAAAAGCCAACAGCCACTTTCAACCATCTGTCGATGACCGTTATGAGTAAAAAAACTTTGCTAGGTCTTACTTTTGGGGGAGGCCTTATATTTAGCAATTCAGCAAAACCTATGGTAGATCTTATTTTCAGAGGATGTCTTATTTTCGGGGAAACACGGTAAGTTACTTGAAACAACATGTACCTGAAGTGCTTGCAGTTCACTGCATAATCCATAGGCAACATTTAGTAGCCAAGAACCTTAGCAACAAATTGTATCAATCGCTTCAGTTTGTTATAACAGCTGTGAACAAAATTTGAAGTAACACTTTGAACATTAGACTGTTCGCTCAATTATGCAAGGAAAGCAACAAAGATTTCTATTGATTGGTTCTTCATACTGAAGTTTGCTGGCTTTCAAAACGTTTGGAATAGTGCAAAAAAATCTCACCAATCTGTTTTAGAGTTTTTAGAATTATTCCAGTTTGAAGAAAATTTATTTAAGAATAAAACAGATATTGCAGATATTGCTTATTTAACAGACTTATTTGGCAAATTTAATAATGTTAATTTACAACTGCAAGGAGATAATTTGAATCTCATCAAAGCAAAATCGGTCATATCGGCTTTTGTTGCCAGATTAATGTTTTTTAAATAAAATATTGCAAGATCTGAGCTTTCACAGTTCCTCAACTTATTTAAGATAGGCACAATCCAAGAAAAAACCATCTTGCAGTATGTCAACGACTGGAGGCTCTACACTTAGAATATCTTCAAACCTAGGTTTTAAATCTATCATTGGAAATACCAGACTGGATGATAAAGCCATAAACTACTAGTACAGAACCAAATAAAATTTTGCAAGATGAGCTGTTAACCATCAGCATGAATGAGGATCTCAAGGTACTGTACAATTCAAAACAGGGTTATCAAAATTTTTGGCTGCAACAAGATATTCCACTTCTCTATGGCCCGGCTCTATGGACTGTTGTACAAAAGTTTTTGCTGGCATTTCTATCATCATATTTGGTAGAGAAAGACTTTGTAGTTTTAAACCTGCTTCAGAACAGACATTAATTACATATCGCTAGAGCAATTTGCTTATAGCTTCTGAGTTCTCTGATTGTTGTTCTGATACTTCTTGACTAACTGCTTAAACGATTTCATCATCTGTTAACACCTCATTCTCTACAATATTGTTAACAAGCCACTTATTAATGTCTCTTTGAATTCCACTGTTTCAAATTACTAAGCAGAGCAATGATCTGTCATATCTTTAGTGTATGGCTCTTTGTCTAGATTGCAGTTTAATTTTTAACATCAGATTATAGTTTTCTCCATGACCTTACAAGCATTGATAAAAGCATTTCCTGAAAAGCATATGCTAACATGCAAATCAACATCCTTGATATTAGTTTTCTTATGGTCTTCATTGAATTCTATTTCTTCATTGACAGTCTTTTCAAGAATTTCTGAATGGCATTTTATTCTGTAATGCTTTTTCGGATACTAAATATATAAGTAAGTTACTTCATTAATAAAAAAGCTGATTGTCCAAAATTATGTTGAGTATAAAACCAGAATGGATGGAGATTTGGTTGTGATAAGCTGCTATCAAATGTGCTCTTACATTCTTCTGTGATTTTGTGCGTAATTCAAGTACAAGTTTGTAGTTTTTGTGAATTTTGGACGTCGGAAAACTGGATACACAAGATTATATCAAGTAGGACCCATCTTGATAAAAATTTTTCAAAAATAGCTATTTTCCACCCGAACCATTTTTCCAAAATTGGAGTGCCGTTTAACCGAAATTTGCTACAGCATCATTACTGCCTTAGTTTTGTGACTTGTGTTACAAAATTTCGTGGTTATAGGTACATTTTTAGACATTTTATCACTATTTTTTCATGTTACTTCTGGTTGGTCATCAAACTCAAATTGCGGGCTTCCGGTCTGATATTTTGGAAAGATACCTGGGTACTTCTTTCTACCCCCTTTTAGTAAGCTAAGTTGAAATTTTTATTAAAATCGATCCACTAGTTTTTGATTTATGGCCATTCTCGTATGCATTCCAAAATCAACATTTCAACTTTTCTTAAGTTGTTATGGTAACAGTCATTGAGCTTTTGCTCTGAACATTATAGGTTAATTACTGGAAATTGGCTATTTCTTAATTAATTATTAATATAAATATAGACCGTTATATATTTCTGAAATCGGCTCTTCATAAGGATTTTATTTACATCATTTATAATATTATTGGACTATTAGAGTCTATATAGTGAATTATTAACTTTCTTCTACAATGACTTCACATATTGAGGAGTTCTTGGATAAATCTAATAAAACTTTAGACAAAATTAAAAGATATGCAGCTGACAACCCTAAAGGGCATTTTAGCACAAAATAGCATGTTAATTTTATAACTGATCAATTTACAAATATGATTAGGCTTGCTGAAAAGGCATTACTGAATGTTGGACTCATTGTTTACTTCGATGGAAAAATGTAACGATACACAACAAATGATAATAAAGAAACTTGATGACGTTGAGCACAAGGTCTCTCATCATGTTCTCCCTGCACCTTTGTACAGTTCAGTGGTAAAACAGGGAAGGCAATTGCAGGAACAACACGAGGTTGTCACATCTGCTTCATCAAGAGAAGTTTTACTGGCATACAGTAAAAATAAAGAAAATAATAATAGCGATGCCGTGAGAAAATTAATGCAGACCAAGATAAGATCATCTGATTTACATATTGGGATTGACAATCTATGCAAGATAAGTGGATGGGGGAATCACTATGGAGCGAGGTGGCTGTGATGATGCCGCAAAACTAGAGGAAAGCATTAAAGAAAATATCCCAGATCTTATTACATGCAAACCCAAGAAAAGATTACCTCACATGGTGCTATTCTCTGTCCATACGGACATTCCTAGGGAGGACCTTCCTCATCAAATCTATATTCAAAATAAATTGATAGAACAAACATACACTGAAGAGGAATTTCTTAAGCAATTCTGCATCAAATTTCAGCTGGGGAAAAAAGAGACTACATATAAGAATTGGGTGGTGGAGGTGTCCCCTCTTCTATGGAAGTCACTCTTGAAATTAGGTAAGATAAATATAGAATGGTTGCGCTGCAGGATAGCGGACTTTAGTCTGGTCCTGCAGTGTTATAAATGCTGCCAGTTTAACCATTCCGCGAAAGACTGTCTGCAGTCTGTATATATGTGCAGTCAATGTATGAAGGACCACCCTTACAAAGATTGTCCACATAAAAAAGAGGATCCCATATGTTGTAATTGCCATCAAGATAAAACAAAAAATTGCAAGCACAATGCTCGAGATAGTACATGTCGAGTATATCAGCAAATTAAATCTCTTATTTTTCTAAGAACTGATTATGGATCGGGAGAGTAAGATTTATTTAAGTATTCTGCAGTGCAATTTAGAAAGAAGTATCTCGGCTACTTCTTTGCTCAGTAAGCAGTTAAAATATTATGATTTGGCACTGATACAAGAACCATATTGTCGTAAAAACATTCCATCATGCCTCCCCACCTTCTGCCCTATCCTTAAAGGAACAAATCAATTCCCTTGGGCCAATACCCTCATGCCGATTACTAGTTTATCAATACTTTATCATGAGAAATATAGTAATGAAAATATCATTGTCTCAGAGATTATGATTCAAGAAGAAAGAATCATTATTCTGAACGTTTATTTCCTGGGAGGAGTTGACACTAAAAGTTTTATCGATGATTTACAAAGAATAGTCGAAGCTTTTCAAGAGATTCATATAATTATGGCAGGGGATTTCAATGCACATTCCCCTGCTTGGAGAGGGGATAATTTGGACAGACAGGGCCATCTTCTTGAAGAATTCTTGGCATATAATGATCTGTTGATCCTGAATAATCCCTTTTCACCCCCCACATTTAATTCTGCAAGAGGTAGCTCATGGATTGACATGGCTTTTTGTAGTGCTGGTTACTATACTAGGATTGAAAACTGGAGGGTACTTCCTGATGAAACATTAAGTGACCATGATTACATTGCCTTTGACCTAACTGGTACTGAGGATAATCACACCTTGATCTCTACTCCTCAATGTAAGTATGCTCTAAATAGGGCTGCCTGGACATAAATGAAGGAATTTCTCAAGAACAACCTTACTTTTAGCTATTTGGAAGATCCCGTGGATTCTAGAAATCAAATTGACATTAACATAGAACTTATTTCAAATGCTTGTGAGACTTTTATTCCAAAAAAGGTTGTGACTAGGAAAAGCGTCCCATGGTGGACAGCAGAGCTGAGCAATTTACGAAGAACAACAAAAAGATTAAGGAAAATTTATCAAAGATATAGAGATTTTAATGCAAGAAATCAGCATAAAGAAAACTACCTTGCTAGCCAGAGAATTTATAAAAATACAATCAAGGAGGAAAAAATGCACAGTTGGTGCAACTTTTGTACAAGAACCTCAACTAACCCATGGGGTTATTTGACAAAAATGTGTTGTAATAAACTTCGTAAGACAAAGATTATAACTGATTGCAACTTTGAAAATGAACCTCCTTCGTTAATTCAGGCAATGACCACGCAACTAGATATTTACTGCCCTGAAGATGGCCCTTCTTCTGATTCAGAGTGGCAACATCAGACTCGACTGGAACAGGATATACTGGAGGATACTAAGGATATTCAACCTTTTACAGATAGAGAGATTGATAGAGCTTTCCTGACAATGGGAAAACAAAGCCCCAGGCTTGGATGAAATTACAACGGAAATAGCCATCAATCTTTGGAACCTGATTCCACATCATTTTATAAATTTATTTAATAACTGTTTACGACATGCCATTTTTCCTAGGGCCTGGAAACAAGCAAGAGTCGTCTCCATACCCAAGCGGGGATCAGCTGACTCTAGACCTATTTCACTGTTACCAATTTTGGGTAAAGTACTTGAAAAACTCATTACTGTCAGATTAACTTGGTACATAGAAAACTCAAGTAAATTCAGTGATATACAATATGGTTTTCGTCCTCAGAGATCAGCTGAGGACACTATAGATAACACAGTCCAGAATATTTATCGTATCCTACAAGAAAATAAATATGTCCTAGGGGTCAGCCTTGACATATCAAAGGCATTTCATAGTGCCTGGTGGCCCCTAGTGACTCAGCAACTACGAAGAATCAGCTGCCCCCGTAATTTGTTAAAACTCCTGCTTGATTACTTTAAGAATAGAAAGGCAATTTTCCAATACAGTCAAACATGAGGTACACAAGGACATCTCAAGAGGTTGTCCGCAGGGGTCTGGTTTGTGGACCCCTGCTTTGGAATATTATGTTTGATTCTTTCCTGAGGGAAGACTTTGGCCAAACTCATTGTACCGCTTATGCAGACGATGCATTGCTGCTTCTTGGTGGAAGATCAAGAGCAGATCTTGAAAATAGGGGTAATTTAATGTTGGCCTGTATATATGAATGGGGAATAAAACAAACTTCATTTTAACACAACCAAAACAAAGGCTATTGTATTTAATAAACCTAGAAAAGGCAACCTTTACTCAAGACCTCCTTTACTGAAGATGAATGGTAAAACCATAATACTATAATAAATATAATACTAGTAACACTAAAATATCTAGGTGTTATACTGGATTTCAGACTTTCCTGGAAAAAACATATCAAATATGTAACAAATCAAACCAGCCTCATTATACAAGCATTCTCACAAGTGGCCAAAAAAAGATTGGGGGATTTCATCCAAAGCTCTCTCCACTGTTTATGACAGTATCTTTCTCCCAGTTACCACATATGGATGCGGTACTTGGGGATGCACAGTAAATAAAGTACATACAAAGAGAAAGTTAGTATCCTCTCAAAGACGTACACTCCTTTTATTGACAAAAGCCTTCCATACCACAAGTAATAATAGTCTCCAAGTAATTGCACCTAAGTTACCTATTGATATAGAAATTTTGTGTAAGAAGAAAATACAACAACTTAAATGGGGAGATTCAATCCAAGCAGGATCAATAACAATAACACCTGATGAATGTGAACAATTTTATCCTTTTTGTAACACTGTATCCCCAGATATTCCCACTTTGAATATACTTGACCATTATTCAAATTCGGATATCACTGTATTTACAGATGGTTCTAAAATTTATGGTAAAGTGGGAAGTAGCTTTGTGGTTTTCGACAAACAATTAGAGATACACAATCAGGTTTATTGTCTCCATACGAACTGTACTGTTTTCCAATCAGAACTTTTGGCGATTCAAAAGGCCATTGATTGGGTTAATGATAATTTATCACATTATGATATTCAAATCTACACAGATTCACTCTCTGCCCTTAATGTTATCTGTAGCACTAAGCTTCATCCTTTGGCAGTGAAAATAAGAAATTCAATCAGAAACTCAACATGTAATATCAGTATTTCTTGGGTTAGATCCTATCAGGGACTCACAGGCAATGAGAGGGCTGACTCTCTTGCAAAGGCTGCAGCACTAAACTCCACAATTCCTTTTTCCTATGATAAAATCAGTCATATCACTTTGCGACGCTTATTATGGGAGGAAGCTATTAACCATTGGCAACATTGTTGGAATGATAGTAACGAAAGTATCACGTTTCAATTTGTCCCTGACTTAAAAAGCTTCTTTAAAATAAAATGGTTTACTCCTGATCTGAAAATAATTGATTTGTAAATAACTCAATTATTTACAAATCACGAAAAATTTGCTGCATACCTTGCCAGATTTTTAAACAGAACATCAGATCAGTGCCCAACCTGTATTATTGCAGATGGATCTCAAAACTACATTTTTGATTTGTGATGACTGAAATAGAAAGAACTGAACTGTGGCTCCTCTTGCAGGAATTGAACATAGCTTGGCCGTGCCACCTCTCAAACATCTGGACCAACCAAGAGATATTCTCTGCCTTTAAAAGACTTGCAAAAAAGATCAATCAGATCACAAGCAACTAATTTACTGCTAACACTGACTTTGACTTAAAGACTGTCTACTTATCGTGTTAGCTTTGTAATTACTATTTCACACGTGCAATTTATTGTTGTATGAATACATTGTTTTTTCTTGTTATAGTGTTATTAATTTTATTTAATTGTAAGTTTTGTGCATTTTATCCACAATTACAAGGTTCTGTATGGAATCTACATTGTATTTACTGCGGTTTATTAACATTATTCTGTATTTGTTTTTTCTGTATGTAGTCCTGTGGAACTGATGTATAATGCGAGTACTTAGTCTTATTTAGATGTAATATTACTTAATTTTATCTCACTTTGATTTCGTGGATTTTATCTATTATCTTGCAGTTCTGCATGGAATCTACAACGTACTCACTGCTGTCTGCTTATGTTTTTCTGTATTCATTTTCTTCTACTTGTAATTTTGTGGATTTGATGTCATGCAAATACTTTGTTTTACTAAAGTATAGTATAATTTAATTTTATTTAATTATAATTTTNAGTTCAGAATTCGAGGGACAAAATAATAGCAACTTCACATTATCTGAGATTTACCTTTATCTGTATAATACGTCAAATGTCATGTAACTGATGTAATTTATTAAGTGAACAGAATATGGTGACATGTACAGAACACTATTTTCATTAATTAAAAATTATAATAATATAAATGTGAAAGTAAACAGCAGGTGTCTGGTGAGAACCTCACAGGTTGCCAGATAGATTTTATAAAAGTAAAGCAGAATGCCTCAAAAATGTAGGCCATTATTTTTAAAGTGGCTCAAAAAATAGTAAGTCATCCAAATGTATTAGCCTAAACCTCAAGCCTTACAAATATTTCAATCTACTACTTGTAGCCCAATCTTGCAATCTCAAAACCCATATTTTATGTTTGTTTTATGAGATAAGTGAAAAAAAGGATAGTCTATAGGTAAGGTGACATCCAAAAATGGGTTACTGTAAAAGCAAAGCTATACTGACCAGATTAGAGCTGTTCTTGGTCTATTGTTCTCTTATAGAATGGAGACACTTCAATCTAAACAAAACAATTAACATATGCATATCACAGTTCGGACGAAATTTTCATTTCGAATTACGAAGTAAATCTATTTCGAACTAACCGAATTCCTTAACAAACAACTCTCTATATCCCCGGTTGAGACAAAAATACGGTTACGAACAAATGGGATTTCAAACTATCCAAGTTCGATTTAATGAGTCTTTCCTGTATAAAGAGATACATGTGGTCTAGGAAGTTAGTGTATTAAAAGTCAATAATGTTCTTCCAAGAAAGCATTAACTGGAAAGATAAAAGTTGGCATACACATCAAATAACATTTAAAAATTTTATAATATTAAAGTCAGATATATAATTTTAATTATACGAATTTAAAATATATATATATTTTAAATTCGTATATTTTAATTAAAATTAAAACGAAAATTTATCATTTTTATTTTATTTAACCAAAATAATAATTCTTGAAATTCTCAAAGTTAAAATATTCCATTAATGGATACTACAGAATAAACTAAACTAGTTTAAATATACGCCCGATCATTTATTAATGAAAGATATTTTGGTAAAAATATACACAAGAGAATTTTTAGCACTTAAAATAAAACAAAATTATTCTTAACCATTAACGAAAAAATAAAACGTCTATGACGTTGGCTCATTCATAATTACGTCACGAGACTGACGTTCGAGATGAGAATAGTACTGATAAATTGCCTGTTTCTACTGTCACCAAATGGAAAAACAATGTATAAAACGGAGTTTATATTAACACAGAGTCTACCTGTACATTAATGTTTACATTAAAAAAAAAAGCTACTTATATATTTTATAAATATGTCCGACATCAACCTGTTACTGGAAACGGATGTATAATTTTACGAATGTAAGGTTAAGTTTTAAAAGACTAACAGATCGACCTGAATGTGTGTAAGGTCGTGTATTCTGCTAAAGAAGAAGCACTTTTACCAGAAATAGCAGCGTAACTTCAAGGCAGCAAAGTATTTTAAGAAAGCCCATATGCTATCATCGAACGACAAAATACTTTATGGAGGATTTTTTTCCGATAAATCTATAAAATTAGAATGATTACGTAGCCTTAGTAAAAAGGTCAGCGACCTTGATAACGAATTACCTCATTACCACACAAACCTAATAGTCGGTATGTGTCACTCCACTTGGATTGAGTTCCGAAATGTTTTCTCCTCTCAACACCTGATCTTCGAATTTATTTTCAGATGGTGTTTTTAAATATAATGTGTAAAAAAAACAATAATTTAAACTATTAACGATATTAGACCTACGATCAATCGAAATATCCAAATAACGCACGGCCTCGAAGAGTAACGAAAAGCAGCTTAATAGTGATGATCGATCACGTCGTCAGATTTTCCAGCTGCGGAATTTCCTTTTCGCAGTCGACCGCGTATACACAGACTTTCCTTTTTTTTAAATTAACTTGTTTGAGGGGGAAAAACTACGCCGGAACTTGTTCATTCAATGCTATTTTAATCGGTTAAAAAAAAAATAATAATAATAAAAGTTTTTGTAATATTTAAAAGCGAAAGATGAGTAACTGCTCGTATATTTTTAAATCGACGATGCGATTATCGATGCCGGTTAAACTATTCCGTGGGCTTTTGTTAATAAAATTATATTATGAAACACTTTAAAACTTAGGCGTTAAAGTGGGCGGCTGGCGAAATTTGAAAACTATTGCAACTAGCGAGGCCAACTAAATTTAGCAAATCAGCAGTGAACTTTACCTAAAAAGTATCTAAATATTATAAATGGAATTTAATCTCATTAAATTTGATTTCCGATTAAAATATTAAGCGATTATATATTTAATAAATGATGATGAATTTTTAAATAAATTCTTTGTTGTTTTCGAATCGATTATATGTTAAAATACGACCCCAGAATTTTTATAGATAATTTCAGGGTTGTATAAATACACAGCTATTTCAAGGAAAAAAGTATTGTGCAACATTTCCTTTTATGACAATAGAAATGATGCTTATACATTTTCAACATTTTATATCATAAAAGAATCCTTTCTGTATTAAATATATCATAGTCATTTTTTCACAGTTGGTTTTATTTGATTAGAGAAGTAAATAAATATTTCAATTTATTCTAAAAAAAACTGCTACATTTTAATAATTTTATATAACTGGAAGAAATACAAAGACTAACGCAAAATGCCAAAAATACTTTCCATCCTCCCACATCCTATATGAACTTCTCGATGAGATAAATTAGTAAACAGTGATGGAAACATTTATCTATTTTTGCAAAAAAGACATTTAAAATTATCGTAATTAATCAATCACAACTTACAAATTTCCTATAAACATATATGATTGATTGGCAAAATTTTTGTCATTTTAACACGTTATTAACTGTGTAACTTATCAGCAAAATATATTAACTTCTGTACACAGATACTATAATCCAATTTCGTTATATAAATTATAATTTAATTCAATTTTAATATCAATCAACAGATTTTATTATTACTTAAAACAACAAACTACTGGCATTAAGCGTCTCTATTTAGAATAAAAAAATATATCATGTCCTAAATATATACTTAAGCAGAAGCCAAAAGCAAACACTACTTTAACTAGCTATTTCTTTTGCATCTATGTTAATTTCCGAATTACTTTACTCCTAACAAGACATTTCTTTCTTTACATATTGATAATCTACTATTTAATATTTAAATTAGTGAATTTGATTCATAAGAAATAATATAAAAAAATTAGACAATTTCAAGCTAAGAAAAACTGACTGTCATTAAAAGAAATTTTTAAACCTTGGTTTAATATTAGCGGTTATATTTACCGTTGGTGGTTTTAGCGTATGAAAATTTGCCTAATAATCATAAAATTTCAAAAACTGATAAAAATTCTTTTTTGAAACGATTAATTAATACGTTTTGTTATAAATCCTCTACGAGGAAATGCAGAAAAATATATTGTGACATTGAATTTATATTAAAATTTTCCTTTAAATAAATCTTAATTAAAAATTAAGTATAAAATGTCGAATTTATAAACGAAGTTCTTAAAATTAAACTTCTAAATTCGCTGCACAAATACAAAGTACAATCAATTAAAACAATCTATTAATTGAGTACAAGGTGTTTTCAATAGGTACTGTAACGTTCTCTTTGCTTGGCTAATAATTTTCCTGTCAATATACATATTTTCTCCCAATACAGTCCCCAATTGGTGGTTGAGAAAAACATGAATTGTAATTAGAGGATTTGATCCCGGGATCTCGAAAATCGGGATCCCGGGATCCCGACCACTTTTCAGTCCCAAAATTTTCGGGATTAAGTTTTCCTAATCCCGGGATTTTCGGGATTGACATCATTTTAAAAAAATTGCAAAATAGACTGCATGAAGCGAAACGTTCAGTGCCAGTGCTTTTAACAGAATTGCTTGCCTATCATTTTAATATAAAATACAAGAAATTTTATTCCAAGCAAGCAGCAGAAATTAACCAAGCGGGCTTGCGATGCTTGCTTGGAATAAAACTTCTTGTATTTTCAACTAAAATGATAGGCAAGCAGTTCTCACT